CTTGAATAACTCTCTAAAAAATATTTGCGCTTGGTGCCAGAAATGGGGCATGAGACTGAACGCATCTAAAACTAAATGTCTCACATTCACTGATAAGAAGAATCAGCACTTTAGAAAATATTGAACTCCCTAAAAGTGATCAGGTGAAATACCTTGGTGTCACGTTTTCAGCAATCTTAAGTTGGGAACCTCATATCGACACCGTCTGCAAAAAAGCGGTAGGGAAGCTATCCTTTCTTAGAAAAAGGTTGCGAAATGCTCCGGCCCAAGTCAAATTAAATGCATACAAGACTCTTATTCGCCCTGCCTTAGAATATGCCGACATAATATGGAGTCCCCACCAACAACATTTAATAGACAAAATTGAACCCATTCAGAAATTAGCTGTACGGTTCATCTACTCTAATTATTCACGGCATTCAAGCGTCACTGACCTAATTAATAGAGCGAATCTTCAGCCACTTTCCAAACGAGGAATAATTTCTATGGTAAAGTTCCTATACTTACTCTATCACTATCATTTTAAGATACCACGCAATCTGAACTTACAGGACCCATTTAAACACTCACTCAGGACAAACCATAATAAGGTCATCTTTCAACCTGCTAGCCGTGTCAATACACATTAGTATTCTTTATTCTCAATGGCCATTAGTTTTTGGAATAGGCTGCCAGTCAATGCTGTGAATTGTTATATGCTGGAATCTTTTGTCAACTGTCTAGAAGAGATTGATTTTTCTAAAGATGTATACATGTGAATCATGAAGTATCCTATAAGTATCAATACTTTCTTTTTTTTCTTTTTGTGGAGCGCTATTATGCCTCATGTTACCTCTATGTATCCACTCTTGCATGGGCCCGATTAGCGCCTGCAGTATGTACAAATAAATAAATTATCTTGGCCTCTGGCACACCTCCTCTTGGATCTGTCTACGGAGATCACAATTCCCTCTTTTTCTGTAAAATCCTTCTTGTTAAGTAGGCTTTTCTTGACTATTATCGTATCCGCCCCAGAACTTCTCAACACTAACACTTGTTTGCCGTGCACCTTTCCTTCTACCACTGGCATATAACCTGTCGCCGTGCTCAACACTATGCTCACCATCTCAGGCTTTTCTTCTGATCTTAGCGCACATGCACTCCCTTCGCCTGATCAAGACCTGCATTCATTAGCCTTGTGTCCTCTCTTTTTGCATAGCTGGCAAACTACAGCTGTTTCCCGTCGACTGCCGCTTCTTCAGCAAGCATGGCTATATGGCCTAGTTGGTTTCACAAGAAACATGGCTGCTGCGCTCTTGCCTTACTCCTTGGAGCTTCAGTTATGTGCTCTCTTTACTAAGGGTTGTCACTTGTCCATTTCTCGAGATTCCTCAGCCCCCGAGCTTCCAAAAACTGATCTGCCTGCTTGGCCATGTCTTCCACCGTGTGTAGCTCTTTTTCCTTCAGAAATACAGTCAACTTGCTGATAGACCGGTTAAGGAACTGCTCAGCTACAATTTTGTTGCGAACTCCTTTGTACATTTTTTCTGTATTTGAAAACTCAATCCAGCGATTGAAATTGTTACCAGGCCGGCACAGAAACTGCTTTCCAGTTTCAGAATCTTCAAGCTTACACGTCCGAAACTTCTCGCGAAATCCTTCTGCCGTTCGTCCAAAACGCTCCAATAAAGTTTTCTTAAGAAGATCGTAGTTCAAAGACTCCTGTGCTGGCAAGTGACCATACCCCCGCTCAGTGCCTCACCCACGAGATATAAACTCAAGGCAATGGCCCACTCGCTCTTCTTCCAGCCTTGCCTGACCGGGATCCTTTCAAAACGATGCACGTGGGCACCGAGGACGTCTCTTCGCTCGTCGAAGGGTGCCATAAGCTTTTGGGGGGAGGGGGGCGACAAATCTGTTTAGGCCTCGGAATGGGCGAGCTGGCCAGCGCCAACTTGGGGTTACTCGCAGCACTGGCGTCGTTGCGCTGAACAGCGTGTAAATTTGCAAGCCTCAACTTCAGCTGCACGATCTCTTTTTCGCGCTCGTGGTGTTCAAGCGTCCTTGCATGCTCTTCGCGCATACGTGCCTGCCCCTCTGGTACACGATCTCGCCCTCCGCCTGGCGTTCTTGCTCTTCCTGCCCAAGCTGCCTTTCATACTCTCTCAGCGCATTCTCAAAAAACTTCAGTGTCTCCTTTTTTGTCATGTCTAAATCCTTCACCATGGCCACCAACCTTCCTCAAACCATCCTCGCAACCCCCGACGATAACTTTCACTAGGCCGCACAAGGAAAAATCCTGGCAGAGGCTTGCAAATTATAGACACGATTAATCTTAGGAGCGCTTGAAAGGCATTGAATTGAGAGAGATGGGAGGCAGGTATGGCACAACAAACACGCTTTATGCAAACGAAGGCTGAATCAAATACAAAAAATTCGCCTTAAAACACTCAAAATTCACTATCACTATATGTACACACCAGTCTACCACGGGCTGAAAACAGAACTAACGACAATCTGCCTTAGAGCCAACTCCAGCCCTAGCCAATAGTTATCCAAGATGGCGTTTCAGTACTGAAACGTTCTCGCAGTTTATCGCGTTGCTAGGTCGACTCTGTGCCCTTGCTGTGTCGCCGATTCATCACTTTTGTCGTCCAAGTTTTCGTTAACATCCTACCATCATGGACCATTTCTGCCAAACGAGCTGCTTGACCTCATTGCTGGGATGATTCCGGTCTTCGTCGTCTCCGGCTCGGTTAGGGGACACCTAACTCGTCAATGACATTTTGACTGTGGTGTGGGCCACATCCATTCTAGCTTGAAGCAAAAAAGCTGTAGGCCCACCAGGAACTGCGGTGAAAGGTTGCGGCAAGTTCGGGCAGCCTCACTCGAGTCTTCCGAGATGGACGGCCACTCCATGGGCCTCTTCACCGACAGCCTCAGAACCGAGCAGCTCTACTGCTTCCTTTGTTGTAGCGACACTGACTTTCCTGATGTTGGCAGTTCGAAGCCCCTATGCACAGCCACAGCTGGGATTTCTCATAATGGCTCGGGTTGTGTGCCACGAGCCTTCTTGTCCAATCTCGTACATGAACAGGGCACGTATGCGCACCATTGGGGGTCTCGCACACGAGCACTGCATTCCAGTGCCCTTTTACACATGACACAGGGAGAGTAATCAAAGCCTTAGAAGAAATGCAAAGAGGCAAAGCCACTGGTGAGGATAAGATGGGCCTGCTGAAAGATGGCGGAGAAATTGTGTTAGAAAAACTGGCCGCCTCACATATGAAGTGTCTTTTCACGGGAAGGGTACCAGAAACTTGGAAGAACACCAACATCATCCTAATCCATAAGAAAACAGACATCAGGGACTTAAAAAATTACATCCCGATTAGCTTATTGTCCGTTCTCTACAATTCATAAACTATTTACAAAAATAATAGCTAATAGAATTAGGGCGACATTAGAGTTCAATCAACCAAAGGACCAGCAGGATTTCGTACAGGCTACTCCACAATAGACCATATTCATACTATCAATCAGGTGATAGAGAAATGGGTGGAATACAACCTACCCCTATACATAGCCTTCGTAGACTACGAGAAGGCATTTGACTCAGTCGAGACACCAGTAGTGATGCAGGCACCACAAAATCAGGGCATTGACAAACCCCACACAAACATATTGGAAGGAATATACAGCGGATAGAGAGCCAGCATAGTTCTCCATGAAGAAAGCAACAAAATCCCAATAAAGAAAGGTGTAAGGCCGGGAGAAACTATCTCTTCAATGCTATTCACCCCATGTTTACAGGAGGTTTTCAGGGCCCTAGACTGGTAAAAGTTAGGAATGATAGTTAATGGAGGGTATCTTAGTAACTTGGAATTCACTAATGAGATTGCCTTGACAGGTTACTTAGGATAAATTACAGCTCATGATTTCTTACCTGGATACTGAAAGCAGAAGAGTAGGTCTGAAAATTAATATGCATAAAAATAATGTGCAACAGTCTCGACAAAAAACAGCGCTTTCTGATAGGTGGAGAGACACTGCAAGTTGTGGAGGAATAAAAGCCTGCTTAGGGAAGGTTGTGAGCCACAGAACTAAACTATGAGAGTGAAGTGATTACAAGAGTAAGGATGGTGTGGATCACGTTTGGCAAGCATTCACCAATGATGAATGGTAATCTACCACTGACCCTCAAGAAGAAAGTAAATAACAGCTGCATCTTGCCCGTACTTACGTACGGGGTGGAAACCTGGACGCTTACAAAGAGCGTTTAGCTTGAATAGAGAATAACGCAGCGAGTGATGGAAAGGAAAATGATAAGTGTAACCTTAACGGACAAAAACAGAGCAGAGTGGGTCAGGGCACAAACTCGGGCTAAGGATATTATAGTTGAAATCAAAAAGAAGAAATGGACATAAGCTGGGCACACAGTGTATATACAGGATAATTGCTGGTCATTAAGGGCAACTGGCTGGATTCCCAGAGAAGACAAACACACAAGGGGAAGATAGAAAGTTAGGCAGGCCGATGATATTAAAAATTCACAGGTATAAGGTGGAAGCAGATAGCAGAAGACCGGGTTGGTTGGCTGATCATGGGAAAGGCCTTTGCCTGCAGTGGGCGTAGCAGGCTGATGATGATGACGACAATGTACCTTTTGTTGCCGATAGCAAACGGAAATTTTTCAAGAGTTCCAACCCCTGAGCACATACTTAGGGCATCTATCAGCCCTAACACTGTGGCAGGGTCATCACACACATCTTGATGTATCTGCACTCCTTTTACAAACACTTCTTGCTAGATTGTGTTTTTTCAGGTGTGCAAACAACCAACTTACTCGCGAACAAGATGTTTTTGTTTTTTGCTAGTGCAGACACGCTGTAACCAACAATAAAAGGAGATACAGTGAACGAACGTTTTCCCCAGGAAGGCAACGGTAAGACGAGATTGTCGAACAGCATGCATAAATCGTTGTCGACGTCAACACTGTCGATTGCGTTCTCAGCACTTACTGATGTGGCAGTTTCTTGTGCACGATTCTTCTTCTGTGGGGCATGCTGTTCAGACGTTGAAGGGCGCTTTCTCGCCGTGGTACCCTCTTTGAACAATAGGCATGGAGGTTCGGGAACCGAGTCATAACTGCTCCCACAAGCAGCACGGGCCTGGTTCTGTCAATGCGGACGAGCTCACCGTTCACAGTGTGCTCAAAGTATCTAGAAATGAACCTGTCATCAAAGTGAAGTTGGCACACTGCACAATTTTATTCGAGCTCCTTGTCGATGCAAGGAACAGCACGTTGCCACTGTGCAAGCAAGGCTGGGTCCTTCGGTACACCAAGCAAGGACAGTTCAGTCTTATTAGACTTTTAGCTTGTCGTACACCCAGGCACGAAACAGTGACTCTGCCTCCGTGGCATGGCTACACAGGACGGGGAGCGAGCTATGCACACATTTTGCTAAAATTATTCGAACGCACATGACACTGAACAAAAAGAAACAGCACGCTTTTCAGTGTGGTGGACCTTCAGCGAGTTGAATGAGAGAGCGAGCGCTCTCACGTGGTTCCCTCTTCTCAGGCTTCAGCGACTCGCATGGGAGCCGCTTGCCAGTCGGCCCACTTTACTATTGTAGCCACTGTAACTAAAGCCCCTAGATTTGCCTCTTTTACTTGAAGGCCAACTCCGGTGATTTTTCGACCACGTGAAGATAATGGTGCTTTTATGTTCCCGAGACACTGTTGTCATGAGCAATAGCTGAAATGCTCAACAAATTTGAAAATAATTTTTATTACCGAAAAACCGTAATACCCATACCAAAACCCAACTGAGTGTGCTTCTACATGTGACGTAATCATTCACCCGAACCTGCCTTATTGCGCATAATGCTCGCCAGATGGCACTACCTGTCCACGCCGTCCACCGTGATCGACTAAAATGCTTATGATGTCATGGTGAATATATGGCGAATCGTGTGCGACTCATAACGCAACAGCACTTGCCACCTATCACAAGCCTACCAACACGGAAAAAGAAATAGCACGCTCAACCAAGGAAGCGCCGGCCAAACTCACACAATCCATAACAGACAAGCAGACGCTGCAGTGGCACATCAGTTCCGTTACTTCTGCCATACAAAACTCAACGTCAACACACAATGTTGCCATTAATTCTGGCAAGCGAGGTGAGCATAGTAGACAAGCTATAAAACTTATTTGAAAAGAATCTGCAAAATTCTCAACCTTGCGATTTGGCGTGAATGGCGCAAACGTGCAAATTTGCGTGAACGTACCTAGTGAACCTCATTGAGATCTACTGACCCCGAAAAATCGTCGGGGTTGGCTTCTATGTACCAACAATCGCCTGCAGCTGGCCCCTGCCAGCATTGGCTTCCCAACTTGAAAGATTTACAAAGCCGTGCATGTCTTAACTAAGTACATTAGCCACGCATCTGTCAGCGGACGCTATTCGCCTTCCTCCTCTGGTCAGTGTCCCGCCAATAGTGAGCAAGGGACTCGTTTCACCAGGTGCTGGCAGAGCGTTAGAAAGAACATGGCTGCCTAAAACGAGCGATAGCCAATAAGATCTGTCAATGGCACTTTCATGATTGTTGCTACTTAAGGGGAAATGCGGGTCGAAAACGCGATTTTTTTTCTTTCAAAATTACTGATTTATTATTTTCGCCTGTTTTGATAAGATTAGTGCCTTTACTGTTATGAAAAAAATAATACAGGTCGAGACGACTGGAAATGCTTTAAAATTGCATCTAAAGAGCACAAGGTGCCTACTAAAGGTCGAAAGTGTGCAGTCTTCGAGCACCTTGCCGCCAATAATGCGCCGCCGCTCGCCATTATTGATTGCATGAGTCGAAGAGTTGAGCCTCACTCTTCAAATGCCAACAGTTTCTCTCGCCAATGCAGCGCAAGAAATAATAAAAAGAAGCACTTTCTGCGTGTTTTTCGAGCGCCGCGACTGGCTTATCACATGGTACGAATCGGGGACCGCCATTGGCCGCTGCACGCCTGTATGTGCTGTGAAACCTATTTGCGGGGTCCGTGTCTTGCTGAGCAGCACAGCTGAACAATGCTTTTCTCGTGTAATTATAGCTGGTCCGATTTGCGGCATTTGTTGGCTTGCAAAAGCCAATGCATCAAAAGTCATTCACACCCGTCAGCTGGAAAGTTTGTGATGCGGCAATAGATGACGTCAGCGCCAATCTTGAGAGCTCGAAAGAGCTCGGAGTGAGAGAACTTAGCAGGGACGACATTGCCATTAGGTACGACGGTATGTGGCACAAGCGTGGCTGCAAAATGACATGACACTGAACTTAGTTTGGATTTCGCAGTCATGTCAAACTTCTTCCAAGCTTGCAGTTGGCACAAGGCTCTGCCAGATGAAGCCGCAGTTTGGCAAGCATTTCATGACCCTGTCTGTGAGCGAAATGTCTGTGAGGAGTCGGCTCGAAAAAGCTGAGAGGGAGAAACTCATGGTGCTGTCGTATTTTAGTCGCAGTGGCCACTACAAGAAGGATTGTTCTTTTTGGTGTGTAAATTTCTTCTGATTTAATGATATCCTTCATAAATAAAAACTCAATTTTAACTTTAAAACTCATTTTTTTCAAAACGCGAATTTTGCCATTTTTTACAATGTGCCCCTCCTTTTTTTGGGGCACTTCTAGTGCTCGGATCTGCACGAAATTTTGCCCATATTTTTTCCAAAGTGTGAGAAATGCAATTATCTAGTTTAAAATTCAATAATTTATTGTATAATAAAAATTATATGTATACCTTTACTAGGGTAGGTGAAATATGGACTTTTTAGGTCTATTTATTTTTCACGCATATTACATATTTTGTATGTGCTTCCTAATTAGTTATTTACACTCTACACTTTATTTGAAGCATTATGAGCTATGAATAATAGAAAATTACAGATGTTTAGGGATGAAAAGAGGGGGGCAAAAGGGTTAAGGTTTTCACTTTCTCATGTTCCAGAGCTAAAAGTGTGTAACTTGCAAAAAAACTAATTATATATTTGAAATCAGCATAAAATGTTCCATAAACAGCTCAAGTTTCATTGCTCTAGGGTGAATAATAAAATAAAAATGTCTTCGAGTAGCATCTCCCCTTAAGAAATAACAGGGAAAAATCTAGGGACTTCAACTGTAACCCAACCTCAAGGTCAGATGATGATGATGATGATAGCGCCGCCCATGCTATAACAGAAACGGCGATATCGGTTGAAGCTTTTTGGAATACGCATATATTTTAGATCATAAAAATAACAAAAAAACCCTAGACTATAAGTGGGCTTTCACGGTAAGTTATCTGCAATGGCTCTGCTGTAGTTAGGAATTGTTGATGAATTACAAGCGAGCAAAATCAAAACTAACTCAAATCGGCTGCAAACTGTTGCACTACTTGGATAGGAACACAAATGCACAGATCTTCCTTACCTTTGCTTTATTGCTAAGATAAGTTGTGACCGACTATGTTTCTCAAGCAACTGCAAAGCTATATGGCCTTCAACGTCACAACTGCATGCAAGTCTACATATATAATCCAGCAGTGTTACGGCTGATCGAGCCCTCCGCTGTAGCAACTGCTCTGGCGCCTGCTCCACCTCCCCATCGTCACTGATTCAAGCATCGGCACATTTGGTCACGTTATTGCCAACAGAAATCGCGGAGGCGACATCTCAAACCAATTTTTGCACTCAAACACATCACAGACACCATGTTTAATGAAAAATACAAATCTCAGAGGCCGTGCTTCTGGTGGCTGGACTTAAAGATACATCACAGATGCCCCACTCCACTTTTGATGACTTATTTGATTGCTAAGCTACCAAGTGGATTCAGCCAAGCTGCATGAAAAGTCAACATGGCTGCCTGGGCCATCTCAGAGGGCCAGTTTGTAACATACGTGCGGGAATGGTCCCTCAGTTGCGACTTGACAGCAGGGTTTCCATTGCATTGGTGCTTGTAAGAGCTATGTCGGACCCAACAGAAAACAACCTGACATCCAGAAAAATGCGGAACCCAGGGACGCGAAAGCAGGGAATTTCTGTACAGTAGAATCTCGGTAATATGATTACGGTTTATGCGAATTTTGCGATAATACGAATTTCAAGGTTGTCTTGGATGTACTACATTATATAAAATAAGCAGTGATTCACTGCTACGCAAGCTGTTTCCTTAGCGACTGCGAATGATACAAATGAGCACCACACGCCAGCAGCGCAACACGGCTTATTAGTCGTTGGAAGGCCCGTTCACTCTTGGCCTCGAAGAGAGTGAATTTGACAAAACTCGCCGGAATTTTCCTCGCTTTAGTGGTTGGAATTATACGCCACGAGAACGATGCAAAAAAATCAGTGTGACACCAATTCTTCTGCCACGCAATAGATTGCCTTTTTGCCTAAAGGCTTTGGCTACACTGACTGCTCTAGCTCTCAAGCCATGTGATATGAACAACCAGCCGCTAATTCAACATGACGGCAAAGACGTCAGCGCTATCGTGAACTACCCGTGCAGCACATCAAAGCTCACAGCCTCGACAAGGACATGCTTATGAAGATCTACCTGTCATAATTTGAGAGTGCTTGCCGAATGTGCTCCACCCCATTCTTATTCTTCTAGTTACTTCAATCTCGTGGTTCGGCTCTGCGGTTATTACCTGCCCTAAGTAGACATAGTCTTTTACAACTTCAAGTGCACTATTACCTATCTCGAAGCGCTGCTCCTTTCCGAGGTTGTTGTACATTACTTTTGTTTTCTGCAGATTAATTTTAAGACCTGCCTTTCTGCTCTCCCTGTCTAACTCCGTAATCATGAGTTGCAATTCGTCCCCTGAGTTACTCAGCAATGCAATGTCATCTGCTTAAATTGAGGGCGACGCAGCGAGCAATGGAAAGAAAAATGGTAGGTGTAACCTTTAGAGACAAGAAGAGAGCAGAGTGGATTAGGGGACAAACGGGGGTTAAGGATATCATAGTTGAAATAAAGAAGAGGAAATGGACATGGGCCGGGCATGTAGTGCGTAGACAGGATAACCGCTGGTCATTAAGGGAGACGCTCTAGGTGCCGACCAGTGCGGACGCGCGAAGATTGGCTCCTGCTTTCAAGAATGCTTTCCTGTGGTATTCACGAATTTGTCGCCGAGTTTTTAGTCC